TAGTGATAATTTTTTTCCAAGTGAAATTATTTTTACATCTTTATAAGAGAAACATGAATTTAATGGTTCTTATAAATTAATGGTTCTTATAAATACAATATTTTATTTTATAAATATTATTATAATTAATTAATATTATAATTAATTAGTAATTTTATAAGTATCAAGAAATCAAATTATTTATTCGATTAAATGATTAACAAATTTTTTATTAATCAAGTAAATTTAATCTTGATCTAATCAATTCGTTCTTTTGAATTTTCACAAGTATTTTTCTTGGTCTAATTCATTGGATTTTATTTATTTAGAATGCGATACTTGATCATTTGATTAATTTTCAAATATAATTAAGAATCATTGAATCGAGGTGCGTTTTATAATGCTCGCGTTTGCCGTGCCATGGCGTTAGTCTCGTTTCGATTACTTGCTAAATTTAGCACCTAAGTAATATTTCTCTGGAACTTTTGCTTATGTGTATGTGCGTGCACGCGCGCGCGCGCATATAATATAATAATGAAAAAATGTGTATCTATACTTTGTTTTTTTGTTTACTTTAATTTAAGAATAAAAAATAGAAAGAACAATTCTTAGCGTTTTACCATTGTGTTACACGAATTTTGTGATCAAAGCATCGAAATTGAAGGTTTTATCGTAAGATCGTAAGATATTAAGTTTTTATCAATCATCATTAATTGCGCTAATGCTAATTGCGTCTGATCATTTCTTTATTTTATATTCTATATAATTTTTTCTTTTCCTTATATTTCTGGCAATTCGACAATTTGTCTATAATTTCGTTAATTTTTGATTGTTCGCTTAAATATTCGTTCGTATATGTTTCTCGTACCAGTTATGATGAATTCGATTGAGTAATACTGACGCGCCGTGGCGAGGCATGAGGAGTGACGCCACGGGACATGGTCTGTGGTTTTTAATACGCGTCCTACTTTCTGCTATCTTTCCCGGCATCCATACGAGCAAGCGAATAGGAAATGAATGAGTGAGATAGCATGATCACGCGTGCATCATTCATTCCCGTGTTTCTCGTCCCGCATATCACCATCACCGCATATCACTCTCTCTATCACTTATTATTCCTTTCCAAATTATATGATGCTTGGTACATTTGCAATTAAAAAGGATAATGTGAAGAAGACTTCCTCTCTCTTCTTTTCTTCTTCCGCGTAATCTTTTCTTTTCTCGCCTCTCATGATTCTGCTGTTTATGATTTTGCTATCGTATATTTCTCTTCTCTTTTCTCCTTCTTTTCATCTTTTCTTTTTTTTTTGTTCACTTTATGCTCTCGAGAGAAATCGTACGAGAGAAGCATTACATCGTCATATTAAATAATGTATGCACGGTACAGAATCAAAAATAGGAGGATATGGGGAAGGGGAAGAGGGGACAAAGTTATCGAGGTCGTGGTGAAAAAAGGAGATGGAGAGCGAAAGCACGAGATAATATACGACGCACGCGGCACAGCAAGTTGCACACAGTTAGAAGGACTGAAATTGAAAGTGGTCGTCCCACTAGCCCACTGACCTGATTACCCATTGACAATGACACGAATCCTTGTCTCCCACCGGGTTACTATCCCTCCTGTCCTCCTTCCCTACTCCCACCCTCTACGTCCTACTCCCTCGATTGCGTGTAAGTATATGTGGACGCAGCAGCACCTCTCCTGCGCGTACAGCGCAGGCGTCTTCTCACGTAATAGTGCGAATCTAACGAGGATGCGAACCTTTTTATCTTCGAGTTTATTATCTTCTATTTCTCATATATTTATCATTATCGATGAAATTATTATGTGATGTATATAAACATCCAAAATACTGTCGGAAATAAAGATTTGAACATATCATAGAAATTTTGATTTCATAAAAGAGTCCGAATATTATACATAATATAATTCATTTTTTTTTAATATTTTTTCTTTTTATTCTTCTTCATTTATTTCCTTTTTATTTTTTCTTATTTTTATTTATAAAATTATAAACATAAATGTTATCTTCAAATAGCTGTTATTTAGATGTTTTTAGTACTAGTAGTAGTATTAATATTAACAATAACAACAACAACAACAATAATAATAATATCCTATAAAGAAACAATGATAAAAAGAAAAGATTTTTAGATTCTTTGAATAGATTTCGATGCTAATTTAAAAAATGAAATATAATAAAAATAGAATAGGGAAGAAAAAAAAGAAAATTAAAATAAGATAAATTTTACAAATATGATTAGGTAACATTCGATTGATATATTGATAAAAAATTATATTGGTAAAAAGAGAAATGTTTTAATGAGTTTATTTTTTTTCACGAAAAAAGTACAACATAACTAGATAAATCTGATAAGGAGATAATTAGAAAATTTGTAAAAAATGTAGTTTGGTTTTTTTTTAACATCTATAGATTTCTCAAGCTTGATTGTATATATATTTTGGTTTTTACAATTTTCTTCTTCGCATTCGTTTAGAAAAGAAACGAACAATATGCGTTACAATAGTTATCGCTTGAATTCGCTTTTAATATGTTCCAATAACTTTCTAATGATTTATACAAGCAAATCGCGATATCTACGTGAAAAAATTCCTAACGGAGTGTATGTTCGTTTTGTCGCGAATAATTTCCACACAATCCTTATAAAATAGAGAACAATTTAAATACATAATCTAATCTCATTGAAATGCATGCCAGCTAATTCTCGAAGTCACTATCACTTGGTCATGGTCCATGACTAAATAGTATTATACATCCTCTTTTTTAATTTATGTTAATTTGTTTCTTTTTCTTGTGATCGATTTCAATTCATCTTTTTCTCGATTTTTCTCCCACGTGATTAAGATAAAAAGCGTCTTCCCTTAAAAACATCCTACGCTTACCGAGCTCATATTAAGTCTCGTTCATTTACGTTTAATTTTCTCGATCCGTTTCTTGTCAGACTCGTATCATAATTTGGAAAAATATTCACGTTGATAATAATTAAAGGTTATAAAAATTTTTCTTTAAGGTTTAAATGTTTTCTTCAATACTTGTTATTTATATTTATTGAAAAATCCTTCATCATTATTCATTAATTATTTATATAATTACTACGTATTACAATTAATTTAATGCATTAACCATCATTGAAAAGATTAGCAAATGATATCAGATTTATTAAATTAATATCATCATGAAGAATTGATTGAATCGTTTAAATTTTATAAATTGTCATTCGAGTTACTTTTAACTTTTAACGTTGTATATATATGTAGATATGATACAAAATTTATTTAAAACTTTATTTTAAAACTAATTTTTATTTTTTAATAATGTTGAACAAGTTAAGTTAACTTTTTGAATAATATAAACTTAATCTTTTTTAATATTAAAAAATTTATCGTTTTTAATATTAACGAGAGATGAATTCATTAATATTAGAAAAGATAAGTATTTTAAAAATTAATTATTAAAAACATATTTCTAAATATTAATTTATATTTAATATATTGGAAAATATTTTAAAATACTTGAAAAAACAATATAAATCTGCATATATGTAGAAGAAATTTATTCTTGCATTAAAAAGGACCTAAAATGTATATATATTACGGAGAGAAAAAAAAGAACGAAATAGTAATAGAATAATGTCAAATCGGTCAAATTAATAAAAAATTCCTGGACCTGGGAACATGCAACAATTATACAGTTCTGTTCGATTGCGAGCGTTATAAATAACTCACGTAGCCGGAGCACGTGTTAATTAAGGCCTGTTGAAAACAAGTAAAGGGGCCCAGATATGTCTCTGGCGACTTGTTTCGTGACT